TTACGTTTGCGCAATTGCACGCTAGAGATGCGGTTTCTAGTCGTGGGGTCCGTGCTTCTTTTTTGTACACAAGGTCAAATAGTTAGAGAAGTTAGATATCAAAGTCAACTTCTAAAGCTTTAAACAACATGGTCTTCGTAGCCTTCAGAAAGTGAACAGAGAAACAATTGTTCCCCAGAGTAAATAGGGTATACTATTCTAATCTGTTCAGTGATTTCTTATACCTAAGTATTGGAGAAGGTCTACGTACTTATTGATAAAATGACTGTAATCTTGATCTGTTCCGATCCGCGTTGAAAGAGATAACAAGTCATAAAAAATCACTCGAGGCTCGACACTCGTCCGAATTTTATGAAGCCAGGTAGTCCCAATATAAAATCTCAAAATAATCTTTCCGCAAAGTACGTATTTACTCAAAAAAAAAAGAAGAAAAAAACTCCGTCATAAAATCATTGTCACCAACCAAACCGTCACTCATCCATCCGTCCCTGATCTTACGGACCGAGCGTCCCCAGCACCTCTATTCTTAAACAACCTCTCAAGAAGCATGTTGGTCTCAACTTCTCTTGCCTCGCTCTCAGTGGCCCGAATTCTCTCCCTGACATGGAGCTCTTCAGCCTGTCTATGTAGTGCCGCGAGCGCGACTAGCCGCTGGTTCTTTTTGTTTATCCTGAATAACAGATTCTTCACTGCGATTTCCTGGTCTTGGAATGTCCTTTGATAGGCCGCAGAGGGCTTAGCGAGTCGCGAACTTCCTCCGCCAACGCCTCCATGCTGGATCTCAGACAGCCTGGCATAGGTTTCGCGCACCGTGGTGGCAATCAATTGGTTGACATGTTTGACGTCCTCGTCGAAATTTCTCAGCTCGTCATGGTCATTGAGCGGAATGGCAAACCGATCATCGTACGCTGTCGCCGCTTCGATATCACTCATCACTGCGCGGCTAACCACGAGGGGGGCAAGGCCCACCTCGGCAATATGGGCACTACTAAATTCAGGTGCCTCATGTGGGGCCTTGAAGGGGTTAAGAACCATAGTATTTGGTGGACCACCGTTCTCTGGTTCGTGCTCTTCGATGCATGGCTCGCCCGACGGTGTGTATCCCACGATTCGCCAGATCTTTTGGCCCGCTCCTGCTGGTTTGTGCCCCGTATTTCCGCCCCGGATACTTCTTCCATCCAGCTCATACATCTCCATCAGGTCGTTTCCTCTCTTCTCCCCCATCTCAGGCGCCTCGACGGTCTTTGGAAGCTCCGCTACAATCTCGGGCTGCTTTTCCTTTACTGGCTCTACCACTTCTTGGAAACAGACACTCGGAATGGCGCCCTCATTGACCTGGAACTCGCCCTTCCGGTCTGTCTGTAATATCTCGCCAATCTTGCTCTCCACCTCCCACAGCAAATCGTTGATTGCGTCCTCCCTCGTCACCCACTTCTTCCCCTTCGCCTTGCACTCCCTCTTCCACAGGATCTTCGAGTTGAAATCAGCATGCGAATCGCGCAGCGAACACGTCTTCGGCAGTATCAGCGCTGTACATGCGTTCGAGACGCCATTGTTGAAGGTGTGGTAGAACGTTATCAGCTGCACCTCTTGCCCGAAGAGCCATCTGCAATTCTCTGAGTACCCGTGGCCTTTAGTATCAACGAGGGGCCAGGGTTGAATGGGTTTATGTGTGTGTGCTAACCTAGTACCTGCTCGCGCCGCTGGGAGCTCGTGGGTTTCTCGTCGCCGTCCATGACCGTGCAGGGGTTGAGCTCTGGGATTTTATCTGTTAATGTTGCGGGCCTGCTTCCTGTCATTGAGCAGAGTTGTGCGGTTTATGAAAAGAAGGAGGGCGGGGGCCGTAATGGTAGCTGATGGTGTGTCCAGCGAGCCACCATGTGATTGGTAATATTAATAGGTACCAACGTGGTACAACAGCGCCTGAAACAGAAGGCTGGCTGTATTGGCTATACTTGACCGTGTGGCTGTCCGAAATTGGAATGGGGCGGGGCGTAGAAGCACTCAATTAATATCATATGTGCTTCATTCCTTTTTTTTGGAAGGGATATGTATTTGGCCGGCTGCTGTAATATTGCTCTGCGGTACCTACGAGTCTACTGAAATGCGACCCAATATTGTTAGATTATCCAAATACGGACTTGACGCAGGTGTTTGGCGTTAATAATCTGTGGATTTTGCCTATTATATCAGGCAACATGTGTCTGGCATACTGCATGGCTGTTGGATAAAAACGACAGAACCAATTACCGGCACCTGAATGTTTCCTTGGCAGCATGGAAAACGTTGAAGATCGATCATGGGCTAGGCCGAATGTGCAAACCTATTCTTTAGGGTACTATGGTTCCTGTGTGTCTTTTGTCTAGGGACACGGAATTTATTATTAAGGATTCGATTCACACACATAAAATATTATGCCACGGAATTTGAGTTATCAAGGATGGGGTACCACGGGAGGAAAAGCATGCTCGAAATAAACTCGGTCTCTAGCTTATCTCTTGTGGACCAGTACTGAATACACGCCCTAGAACGATTTTGTGTGCTGGTGTCGAGATCCTATGATCTTATTTCTCTTATGATCCGTCCTCGATCTCATCCCCTTTTGATGTGTTAGTCATGTTATATCACTCGCGATCGTGGGGCCGAGTCAACCGACCGGACAGGGGACTGCTGCCACGAAATATTTATCCTTCACCAATAGCTGGTCTATTTTCCGAGAAGCCACTCGAATATCATACCAGGTAATTAATGGGATATCCCTGAGACTAGCTCAATCCCGCCCGGCCAGTCTCGGGTATTGAAATGATAGGCCAAGCCCAGTGCGGCTAATCATGACTCCGAGTGAGTCCATTTATAGGCACTCTGTAAAATTGCCCGTGATATATTTCGAACACCTTTCGACTTTGATATCTAGTTAATCACTCACAAATATTCTTATCCTGTTGATGTCCAAGTAAGCCAGTTTTTGGTATACATACAAATATGGATCTTTAGGCCTATGCTATTGTCAACTCTGGGCCTGAAGGCTGTACCATACATGTACATGTTGGGTGACTGCAACGGCCGGAGAAAGATTCTCCTTCATCGAGAACGTATCGACATCGGCATCGTTTCTCCCAGGACAAACCGCCACCAGGAATAACAAAACATACAGAAAAAACACCACCCGCGGCTACAAATCTTCATCAATATTAGAGCTGTGGTCTTGCCGAGTAACCCAAGCCTACCTTCGATCCACCCCTCTTCTTCCTTAGCTTAGTAAGCAGGAGGTAATGACAGAATGAGCAGGATAACCTTGCATTAGTCTCTCCACTAGCGTGGTTTGGTGGGGCCTGTATATACTGAACTGTATCGCTATTATCTACAAGCATTTTCCGGCCTTTGGCCGGAGTAGGAACTGTTATGGCTTAAACAATATCAGTTTACCAACGCTTAAGATCACTGAAACCCCAAGATGCCCTGTGCACATATCTGATATACTATTTGGTTGACTCAAGGTATGTTGGAACCAATATCTACTGGCTGACTCAAACATATTTGATAGAATATCTACTTACTGACAAACATATTTGATAGAGAAAAAGAAAACCCCTCAAACCTGGCCAATCAAAACCTTTAAATAACACATTGCATATCGGTATATCTATATACTTATTAGATAATATATTTTATCCCGTTCCTGACTCATATCACACATAGCTTACTGCCTCCGGTGCAGCACCGAAAATCAGAGGGCGGATACAAGCTCATATCTTATCCTAAATACCAACGGCAACGGACACTCTCAGAGGTGGGCTAGGATTCGTACACGATGACAGGATGTAAGTCGCGAGGTCTTGGTATAAGAAGTAGCTCGTAGATATGATGAATATATACATATACATGTGGAAATGATGGTACAAATGGGTTATCTACATGTATCTATAGTGAAATAATCAAGGTACATATACGCGTTTGTACAGCCACTCTGCAAAAGTGTTCGTGATTCCGATTTCGGAGTGAGACATTTCTTCATATGTAACCGTGGCGGACCATCAAAACCCCCAATAGAAGACTTTCCTAGTGACCAATGGCGCCCGAAATCAATGTTGAAGGTGATTAATGACCTACTTTCTTTTATATACAGTCACGAACTATATTATCTATTTTTCGTTGTTTTGAATCTCAACATTAATAACGGATGCGCCACACTGCGCACTGACATTAAAACTAAATCACGAACACTTTTGCAGAGTGGCTGTACGTTTTGCGATAAATCAAGATCACCCTAACAGTTGGGGGGGAAAAAACGAAAGGTATTATAATTAATGAGGATATCAAACTCGAATGTTCTTAGCTATAGGCAACTTTTGTTGACACTGCTAGTCTCTGCCGGAGGCAAGATACAGCTACTCTGGTCCGAGATCTGATTCGATTGTGTCCTCAGCACACGAAACACATCATGCAGCTAAGGCTACAAAGAAAACATATTTTTTTGCAACTACAACCAGTCTTCTTACCTCTCATGGTTTCCCTGGTTAAGATTCACTGATCCTGAAGATCCGTCGAAGTTGGAGTGGAGGCCTCCGAGCGTTTACCCCCCAGAAGATGTCGTTTATTAACCGTTAGCCTACATTCCTAGAGATCTAAAGCAGCGGAGAAAGAGTTTCTCTATCCATGAGGTCTCAACAAATACTACTACGACCACCTCACACGAACCCCAATAAATATAGACAAAAAGCGACATACAAGATACGAAACCCATAGGATACCCCATTACTCTCCTCAGAAGGTAGGTTCACGTAGCTATGTACTTAGAGCTTTTGACTTAGAAACCTAGAAAATCCGTTCCACTCCTGATCATCAAGGTTAATATTTTGCCTCGATTTTCAGGGGTATAATTAATTAGTGTACTAGCTATCACTCGTCGCCTGAAGAAAGTAATGGCTCAGAAGCAAGAAAACATGGCCCTCTTATATATTCGTTTTGTCATCCATCTTCGATCCTATAAATGCTAACATTTACACCTTGGCATCCAAATTTAAAAGCCTAATTGCATTGTCCCCCAAGACACAGTCCGCTACCCCTTCCTCTCCAAATGCGTCCTTAATAGCATTGTAATTGGTCGTTACGCTTAACCACTGTTCCTCCTCCCCATCTAGGGGTGGGAAGAAGGGATGATCAGTCCCAAATAAGACTCTGTCAGCACCAGCCACGTCTACTGCAGCCTTCAACCCAACCGGTGAATACACAACTGCATCTAGTAGAATATTCTTGGATAGTACATCCCAAATGCTTCGCTTAGGCGCTGTGTTTGTGGTCTTGAGATGCGCGTCGTGTGCAATGACAGACTCAAGACGGCCCGCGAGGAAGGGGAGGGTACCGCCAGAGTGAGCGAGGAGCAGTGTGAGGCTTGGGTATCTATCAAAGACACCAGAGAGGATGAGGCGTGCAACTGCAATTGTCGTTTCAAGGGGAAAGCTACGCAGTGTCAATACATGTACTTATGATATAAAAGACACAAAGGAGGGTGTAGGTATACCCTAGCGCCAAGGGAAGAACATGTCCATACTCGGACGCCCTTGGTCCATACACCTCGGTAGGTAACCCGTAATGAGGATGTAGAAACATTGTCTGACAAGTCTCCTGTAGCGCTTCATACACCGGGTTCAACTTCTCGTCATCTAGCCCGTTACCTAGCCCCGAAGTACCCATGACGACGCCCCTAATCCATGGCAACCCTTGTAGCCTCCTGATCTCTTCTGTGATCTCTTCCACGCTCCCACTCAATGGAAGCGTTCCAAAGGCATATAATCGGCCAGGGTATGATCCGCAGGTGGTGTTCATATCATCATTGATGTCCTTCGCTGTGGCTGCAGCTTCAGATGGGGGCAAGAAGTCGAGCCAAGGGTTTGCGAGCGAAACAACAGAGATGTCAATATTGTGTTGGTCCATGAAGGCAATCTTGTAACTAAAATCATAGTACTCAGGACCGATAGGGCGGCCTCGAGCTGTGGAGTTATTGGACGAATTTTCACCTGGCAGGATTATGAGTCGCTCCTCGGTAGAGGGGGGGAATGTCCGCACATAGGGGACTGTAGTTCGGGAGCGGAGAACTGGAGGGCGCCGGCGTGTTAGTTGTTTTTGGAACCATGGGGTAGGAAAATGAAAATCTTACGCTTCATATAGGCAGGGGGGTATACATGAGTGTGGATATCGACAATCGTCATTGCTGCGGTATTGGGAATATTTGAATTGATGGGTAAAGATATAAGTGGACGTATATGACTATGAGGACTCAACTACTGTCTTTATATAAGATCTATTAGCGTGGCTTCAGCCTGTGAGCTGTCCTTCAACTTACGCTTGGGTACATACATGCGAGAACTAAGACATACATGTAGTACTTACATTATCTACTCACATGTACTGTACTACTCTATCATGTATGTACCTGTCCCCAGAGAGCAGTTCCGAGGTTTCACTGGCCCTCTTAATAAAACATCTAGGCTCTTTTCCATTGGCCTAAAATTCCCTGTCCGTCAACATTATACAGTATTCTTCATCCTGACGTATTCGCACACTACATACATGTAGATATATTAATACAATCCTCCAAATTGGTCGGGGGCACGCGACGACAGCAGCGGACGGGTCCGGCATTATTCCCACTTCGGATAAATATTACTGCGACTATGCCCTATTTCGGCCTTCTTGGCATCTGTTTATCGCGATAAGGAGCATTTATGGAAGGTGGGCAGGATGGTTTTGGATAAGATATGTAGTGGCCGGAATGTGGGGTAGGGCTCGGCAGGTCCTGCAGATTGGTGATAGGTAACCCTATGTACCTATCTGCTGATATGAGCGATGTTTGCGGTGATATGAGTGTGTAGAGTACTTGATAATACGAGGCGTTTCTATTATATATCCGTCTAAAACTACAGCTTCGCACTCGTCGACATACCCCCTGCTGTAATCGAAAGTATTCAACTATAGCTACAGCACCTACAAACGCGTGCTCTCCTTGAGCCTTACTTTACTAGTAGCACGGACTATCACCAGACGTATATGTCAAACATGGTCAACGCTCCTCAGGCCGTCACGACAGCTGTCTCCAAAGATGAGCTGTTCATTCCTGTAAGAATCCAGCTTGGAAACCCCCTGACCCCACCACTCCCGTTCCTTACTGCCACTGCAAAAATCACACATACTGAACTAGCACCTAGTTGATCGATTTCTCCCTCTTTCTTAATGGCACAGATGAAGACAAAAATGCTGCAGCCAACGGCATGGTCGACGGCTTCAAAAATGCCGGCTTTATGTAACCCCCCTATGAAGCCTACCTCACCAATACTATCTCGCCAACTGACCCTCATAGCTACATCAAGAACCACGGCGTCCCGCAGCCCTTGATCGACCGTGTCTTCGCCGAATCAGCCCTTTTCTTCGCTCGACCTAAAGACCAGAAAAACACACTCGCCTGGACCACCCCCGAGTCAAACCGTGGGTATGTTTCTCACGGTCGTGAGAAAGTAACACAGCTCGCCGACCCCACGCTCATCCAAGCGCTCCGCAACGCAAACCCCGATCTCAAAGAGTCTTTTGAGATTGGCCGTGACCATGTACCCGGGCTACCAAACCACTGGCCGGAACACCTCGACGAGGAGGGGAAGGTCTTTACTAAGACGATGAAGACCTTCTTCGAGACGTGCAAAGGGTTACATATCGAGGTTATGCGTGCCATAGGCTTAGGTATGGGCCTGGAGATGGGCTTCTTCGACAAGTTCACCTCTGGTGGTGATAATACGCTGCGCCTACTCCATTATCCGGCCGTTAAGAAGGATGTATTTGTCAAGAATAGGGACCAGGTCAGAGCAGGCAAACATACGGATTATGGCAGTATCACGCTGCTGTTTCAGGATGATAGAGGCGGCTTGCAGGTTAAGAGTCCGCAGGGGACTTTTGTGAATGCAACACCGATCCCGGGCACTAGTGAGTATTTCATATCTATGCAATGAAGTTTTGGAGGAGAAGTGTACTGATATGGTGTGCAACGTACGCCAGTTGTGATTAACGCTGGTGATCTGCTGGCGAGGTGGTCGAATTGTAAGATCAAGTCTACCGAGCATCAAGTCGTAGAGCCGCCGATTGCGCCAGATCGTGATGAGTATCCTGCCCGGTACTCTTGCGCGTAAGGCCTTACCTCATCTCCTTATTATTGTATGATATGCTGATAAAGAGATATTTAGATATTTCTGTAATCCGAACTTCGAACAGTACATTGAGGCACTCCCAGGGACATACCAGAGTGAAGAGGATAAGAAGTTTCCGGGAATCCTGAGCGGTGATTACTTGGTGCAGAGGTTACAGAGTACTTACACCACTTGAGCGCTTGTTTTTATTTATTGTGGGTTTGAGTTGGGGTATGGGGTTTGGAATGCATTGACTTTTGGGACGGACTTGAATTGTGGTTTTTATTTCTGCTGGCTAGTTGCAATCGACCGTTTTTGAGGAGCATGTTGTCTTGTCGCAATGATGATATGATTCAAGTCCCGCGCTTCTACATGTACTTGGTGTTGCGGGTTGTTCTAAATATCTATGTATGCCTGGGTGTTTCCCGCTGGGACGACTAACTATAACTAAGTAGCAGGTACTTACGTAGGTACATACACATATAGGAAACCAAAACTAAGAACTCAGCCGAAAACATAGTACCGCGACTATGTAGAGAGGCGCCTGTATAGCTTAGTCCTCAAAACTTTATTTTCAAATGGACAAGGAATCCTATCTTCACGGGTCGGGAGTACCGTCATGATATCTTATGGATCAGAATAAAGAATCTTGATAAAGACAAGCTAGGGATACTTTCTTTACATTATTCTTGCCGGCTTACAGTTTCACTCTATACATCGTTTACCGACTTACAATTTTCGGGTCACATACCCTGGTGTATTCGACACTTCATGACCTCAGGAATTTTAATTGTTGGTACTGGAATATTGACTCCTACCCCAGATCTATGCGATTATAATTGGGCTGCTCTATTGGGAACCGTTCCGATCCTATCTATAACAAATATATAATAGAGTTGCTCTCAACGAGGGATGGACACATCGCCATGAGAGGGTGAACCTTCATGAACACAAAAATTACAGTCGGCAGGTGTAGTATTGAGCTTATCTTCTAAGAGGGGAGGTATAAAGTCAACTTTTTCTGACTTCTTTTTTTGTTCTGTGTCCATGTAGCACCCTCTTGAGGCATAGGCTCTTGTGCAACTACTAAGTAACTACTTACACGTAGATGAATGTATATCAAATGAGTTACATGGGGACGGGATGACAAGGACTATGGATACGTTTGAGGTCCTTGAAATTGCTCACGGTATACTATAGTAGCTCACATACGCTCGACACGACATATATATGGTACGGAAAGAGGCATGCAATCCGTATCCTCAACATAAAATGCCATCTCGAATCTTCGTTCTAATACAAGTATTGTGCCACTTTATAATAATACCGCGGTTCAAAGATATATTTCTGCCGTAGTAGGTTCGCCCGCCCTTTAATTTAATGGTAACTGGTTGAACAAAGTAAATAATGCGGCTAGCCAGATATGCGTACGGGAATAGAGTGTGTAATTGTCTCAGTGTTATATCTACATGTTGAAGTGTTAGGTGTCGCCTCATAATCATTGAGGTGCATTTTTTCGGTGGCTTTGTTTATCGCGAAATCTAGATGATTGTCTGTGATAATGAGAATCATGAGTGATCACTCGCCTTGGGGGATTAGTAGCCGTATAATTGATGCTACCGGCCTATCTCAATTAGTGTTCGCTTGATCTTTTTCAATCATCAATGATACCTCCCCATACTCTCGCGGAACAATCAATCGAAAAAATCTCGCTACCGGTGATTTTCTGCAAGGGATCCGGATGACATCAGCTTTCTTATCCCTCGAGCCGCGTGATCCCGATGCAAAGTGGAGAAACCAGGAGTAATAAGCCTTTAGCCCTTCCCAGATATTACGTGTAATTGCTCTACAGAGCTAAGGGCTAGATGTATCGATACTTAATTAGGGCTTTGCAACATTTCGCATAGTCTAGTAGCGAAGGTTGGCTAAATGTAGTTTATGTAATAGTATCCAAAGCCATAATTATAATTATATAAATATGTACATATACAAGCAGTTTTATCACGCAGGCCGGTGATGTATATATACAGTCATCTAGGAATAACAACCTAAAGCTCACAAAGAACTTTACTGTCAGGATTCTCGTAGATCCTCTAACTCCGCTCTAGTCACAACCCATCACTCGGCATCACTAAGAACAAGAAACTGCCTGGATATGTATGTATGAGTCGCGCGTATGTATCTAAGGAGTTTGACAGTTTCTTGTTATAACAAAGAATTGTGGGCGGCTAGTAGTGAATGCCACGTATTTCCGTTATTTCGGAACCATCTTATCAATGTCAATGATCCAATCTCCACGTCTCAATCTTATACCATCAATCTCAGCAACCCAATGATCCTCACTACGCGATCGAATGCTCGATCGAATCAACGCCAAGGATCTCTTGTTACAACTCTATGCATACGATCTCTTCTCACATATTCCATACATATTTACCGTCTCAAAACAAACAAATTCCCCAGCTTTATGTATTTCAAATCCACACCAGCAGTCCAGTAAGTCTCGGCGATTATGAAGCGATATTTCGTGAAATTTATCGATTATTAGGACTAACCACGACCCACAAACTGGGATTAGGTTTATGACTGCCATTTCGTGTCTCCGTCCTTTTGTGAAGTCGTTTGGGCTCTTCATACCCCATAGACTTTACTACTATCACTTTAAACATCACTACGAAGGTCAGTTAGTAGAAACGACCCCATATCCATCCTTTACGAAGTAATACTTAACCTCATCCAGGTTAAGTTCTGTGATCCATCGGTACATGGGCTGCTGCCGATGCAAAATGTATGTTTAAACTTGCCAGTCTTAACTACATTTCTGAGATTCTAAGCTATAAACTTAAGTTTTCAGAGCAGCAACTAATATTTTGTGGAATATATAGCAAAACCACCACATTGCGGCTTTGAGGAGGAGCACAAACAAACTGGTAAATACCTAGAATATCTTACTACCCGCTGTACCAAGACCGATTAAGGGCGTTCCTCCTTTACTGCACATAGCTAGAGTGGCATTGTTACTCTAGTTGGATATACAGAAAAGGAGGACATCTATCAATCAGTCTTGAGACAGCGGAAAGTAGGATGTTCTGGGTGTTCGCTAGGTTGTTTATGTTTTTTTGTCAGTGTCGGTAGGTATTCGTTGATGTACTAGTTCTTTCCAATCGGTCTTATAACTAATTATATTAGTAAACAGTTGGGGGAGCCAGAGGAATCGGGAGCTTCTCCCTGTGATCGGTGTTATCTGTACGTATCATCTGGTGCTGATTTTTCAAAACCACTATTTGCATACAGAGATCTAATTATCCAATAGAGAACACCCAGGAAACGGCAAATACCTCAGATGATTTATAGGTACAGCCATATTAGTTTCGAAATCCCATGTTATAAGTATTATAGCTAATATCAATTGAGTAGGGCAAGGGTGAGTAGAAGTGGATGAAACTCCGCTACTACCCAGGCTGCGTCACCTAGGGCCCGGCCACCATCTCCGTACGTATAAATCTATTATAATCTTTCAAAATCTTTATTCTTTGCAATTTATGTGGCTGGGACTGGTGGGGGTGTATTGACTTACACCTCTCTGCCAGTCTCCCACTGATCCCGAAGTATGGGCGTGATTATCTATTTGAATATATTCTGAGAAGCGCAATTGCAATTATAAAAAACCCATTGATAAGATCAGAGAAAAGTCTAATCATTAGAATAGTCAACACCCAGGAAAGTGGCAACCAGGTAGCCCATTATCCGATACGGGGGCGCTCGAAGGTACAGCCACCCTGCAAAAGTGTTCGTGATTCGCCCGCTGGAGTGAGACATGATCGACATGAGACAAAGTGGCGTCCATGGACATTGCGGGTAGGAAATATCAAAAATACAGAGGTTTGCGACCCATTCAACACCGTGCCGTTCGATAGATATATAGTAAAATAAAATCCAAATAGGTTTTTCCGCTAAATAAGAAGACTCTTTCAACACTGTACCCGCTGAGTAGCAATAGAGTAAAAATACAAATAGGTTTCCGCAATCGTCCAGTACCCGTTCACTGCCTGTTCGTCAATACTTCGTATACCAGCCCTTTGCTTGAATGACGGCCTCCACCCTTCGGGGCATCGATGCTGCAAGTTTTTCAAAGAACTCCGGGGGTATGGTTTCCCAAACTAAAGGCAAAACTCTAGCCAGTTCCCTCTTTACAGCAGGTGGTCCCCCTTTGGTATCAGCAATTCTAGGGTACTGTTGTTGAAGCCTCTTCTTGAGTTCTACCCATACATGCTCGATAGGATTAAGATCTGGAGAGTAAGGTGGGTGGGCTTCCAACTCAATGTTGTTATGATCGAACCATTCTGTGATTATTCTGGCTGTATGAACTGGTGCATTATCATGTTGAAAACTGACATAAGGGTAGATGATCAAAGCACTTCTTAGAACTGATGGGAGATAACGTTTGATGATCCTAAGGTAGCGGATGCCAGTCATACTCTCGGGTACTGGAACCAAAGGGCCTTTATTCCCCCGTAAAAACAACCCCAAACCATTAGAGAAATACCTCTATCTTTTGGCTTTGGATAGATGCAGTCGGCAAGCCATTTCTCGTCTGGCTCTCTGAATACCCAAATTTGACGAGGGTCTTTAGATCTCTCAACCGCACACTCATCGCTCCAAATGACACTCATAAACTCCTCAATACCCCAGTCTTTCCGCTGCATTGCCCAATCTAGCCATTTTTTGACATGTTCGGGCTTCAATAGTGGACGGTGTTTGGCAAGCCATTTCTTAATATTTGCCTGCCGTAAGACTCGATCGACCGTAGCAAGAGAAATCCCAGGTGCATATTTGTCTCTAAATTCATTCTTTGTCATTCTCCGATTATTTTTTGCTGCTTTTACCAGTTCTTTCTTTTGCCGGCGGCTAAGCAAGGGCGGTCGACCAGAGCGGGGAAGGTTGTCCTCATTTCCGTCCCGTAAGACAGTACGCTGTATAAAGCTCTTGATTGTCGACCAAGGTCTAATAGATTATTATTAGTAGCTAGTCCGGATAGCCAGTCAGATAGTGAACACACCTGCCAATGATTGCCGACACTGTCTGTATGCAACCAAAGCAGAAGAAGAATGCGATAATCATGCCCTTTTCAGTTGACGACATCTGCCTCCTTGCAGTTTTCGCTTTAGGAGCCTTTTCTAACTTTAAATGAGCTAGACTCTTTTTCAAAAGCTGTACTTCAACAGCTTTATCCACTTGCACATGGCTATGTCGACGCCGTGCCATGGTTGCAGCGGCCCCACGACTTATTCCAGCGTCACGGATCTGTTGAGATTTCACAGGTATATTGCGGCTTCACAGGTTGCGGCTTGAAAGATTGCGGCTTGACAGAGTGCGGCTTCACAGGTTGCGGCTTGAAAGATTGCGGCTTGACAGAGTGCGGCTTCACAGGTTGCGGCTTCACAGGTTGCGGCTTCACAGGTTACGGCTTCAAAATCTTCACGCGTTGTGGGCTCCTCAAATTTTCACAACTTGAACCTGTACACAGTGATTAGTCAATTGAAACCTGTTGGATGTCTCACTCGAACAGGCGAATCACGAACACTTTTGCAGAGTGGCTGTACATAAAATTACAAAATCCATCATTATTTTTGCAAGATATACACGAAAATGTGGAGAGAGAAAATTAAAAGCTAACACCTAGGTGAATTAGCATTGACCCAGCAGCATTTGGGCGGCCTCTCAATTGTCCACAGCTGGTGCGGCTCTCGCCTTTCTTACGAAAGAAGAAGGGGAAAGCTCTAGAAGCTATCCTCCTGGTTGGCGCCAGTGTCACTGAGAATGACTTTTCTCACGAGTATTTGCAATATCGTAAGTCCAAAACAATCCCTTCTCTCTGAATTTAAAATTACTTACCTTTCAAACAGGCCTATGTTAGATAATACAATCGCCCGCCTGGCAGACACCCAGGATTGTCATGGCTGCCAGTTTGGTCACAATAGTTGACCGGCTCGTCATGTCTAAGGACATATAAAAGCGGAGAGGCGTGCTACTGACCGCCTACCGGCTGGGCTAAGGTCAATGCATGAGAATGGCGTTGGCACAGGGACTATTTCGTGGAATAGATCAAACGGCCCATAAGGGCTGTGAGGGGGAGTAGTATCCCATTCGATTTAGGTACGCGGTAGCCTGAAGCGACATTACGCCCAACACATGTCTACCAGGCTACAGATGGTGGTATCGACGGGGCAGGTCCAGGTGTAGGTTTTTTCTTTTTTTTTTGTAAATATCATTAATAAACATTTTATCTTGTACTTGCTGTTTCCTAGGAATTTCTTGAGTGGGAGTGATATAATCAGCACTAGTAGTAACTTATCGCGATGGCCGGTGGTAGTACCTTTTGCTAGTAGCAATATCAATAGTTGGATTTACCTAAATCGAGCTTATTAGTAAATGGTCTTTCGCTGTTAATTATTAGCACACCGATCGAGTGATTGGATTAATTGGTTTGCTTGTCCCAAAGTAACCCTCTTTTGATACATACATGTATGTCTATACTTGAGTAGACAGCATCATGATTCCTCGCTCGACCAGCCAGTCAGCTGACCATGACTGAGAACAGCACATATTGTTCCAGGCCACACCCTTAGCCCCTAGCTCTTTTCATGCGGCCAAAGATACACGACATCACAACACGCATGAAAGTACAATTCGTGATCTCTTGATTTCCTCTGGTGTCCTCCCGCCGCCCTCTTTTGGTTGTTAATGTAGCTAATAGGAGCGTAATGCAAACAAACACAAAAAAACAATAATAAAAAACTCCCCCCAATCCAGCCCAGCCCTGCCCAGTCCTGCCCAGTCCGTGCCTGATATTATGAATAAGGAAAAACGAAAGGAAAAATCCCCATTGAATACCCAGCCAGCAAAGAAATGATAAAATCCACAAAAACAAAAAGAAACAGGCAGGATTAAGAAAGAAAGTTAAAGGGTAAAAAGAAAAAAGATGGAATGCGTTATGGTGATATGGTAACGATGTGATGCTGTTATTATGGCGACTGTCCTTGCCCTGCATTTCCCGACCTAAACAAATAGTAATATAAAAAAAAAGAAAGCCTATACAGCAGCTTTTTGCTTTCCTTCTCTTTTCGACAGAAACTTGAATTCCATCGGTATCACGTCCTTGAGGCTGACTTTGCCTCTGCATACTGGGCACCTCCCAGCTGACTTAACCGGCGGCATAGCCGAGGCCTTGATGGCGCCGTGGAGGCATTTGTGGCAGAACATATGGCCTGTTCCCACACACACATAAGCAACTGTCTCGACAACTCTCTTCATAGAAACCGGCTATCTAGAAAAAGCAGGGCATATAGAGTAGCTGGTAGAAAGGGTCACAAACCACAAGGCGTCACCGCCAAATCTGTGGGCTCGTCCTCCATACAGATGACACACGTGAATCCCGCCACCTTCCTCTTCTCGCTCTCCCTCGCTGCCTCTTGAGTCTTCAGCAGGTCCTCCCTCTGCTGACGACGAAGCACGTCCTCATCCGCCTCCAGCTCTGTCAAGTCCACGCTCTCGATGACACGCCGGCGCTTCGCGGCTGGCTGCTCGTCGGAGTGGCTCGGCGGCGAAGCGGTGAGGTCTATTGTTGGGGCGCGGGCGTTCCAGCGTCTAGGGTTGCGGTTGGCGGGAGAAGGGCGGGGCGAGGCGTGAGGGTAGGGAGCGCGCGGGTATTGTTGTGACATTGTGGAGGCGTTTGGGTGTGTTTGTATGTTTAGTTGTGAGGATGAGGGGAGGTGTTGGAGGTGGTGAGGTGAGGTGAGGTTTTTGAAGGTGCAGCAGGCAGGACAAGGGCGTTATGTAGAGTAAGGTGCCTAGACTGGATACCGGACCCCCTTGGTCGTTGTTCCTGAGTTTTGACCTGGTCGCCAAGACTTTGCGCAGCTGTCAACTGGGGGTGCGATTCCATGATTGGTGGGAGGGTTTGTAGAGGTCTGGAACCTTCAGGGATGTCTACCTCTTTATTATTATTATTCACTCTCTGGGTATGTATTTACATATGTAGGTACTCTATTAAAGCCTGTGGGGAGCATCTGTAGCTCGTTTGAATACCTGGAAAAGCTGTGAGGATTGTGCATGTATGTAACCCTATTTGATGTAACCGTAGAAGGCACAACAGCAACGTGCCTCAATAACCAGGTGACAGGAGCGTCCACGTCGCACGAAACATACACATATTCAAACTCCTGTCAGCCAACCATATATATCAGTTCCAGACCACGGTGATGTCACTGATATCCTATCAGAATCATGGTCTCCTTATCACTACCGCATCACAAGACAAAATCTCAGGTAAATTTCTTTGAAGTCCTGTCTCTACCACGTATTCTGGTGTTTTAAACCTTCAGAGTTTATGCTGAATAGTGATCCCCATAATCCTAGCAATATACTTGGACCCCCAAACCTAAGAATAAGCTCAAGCCTGAGCTCGGACCAGACAATATGTCGAACATACTAAATACTTTGCAGAAATTGCGGCACAGTTCCAGCAGCTCTAGATGGGACCAGATGAGTCGAGTGCTCTCGTGCACACAGGACACGACATCGATCTACAGATGTACATACATACATGTATTGTAGATCCATGTCTTGAGCTCGAGCTCAAAGCTCGGGCCCACAGATCGTCAATCTACATAAAGCTTGGGAGGGTCCAGAACTCGAAAGTATCATAATTTAAATTGCCTTCTGCAGATCCTCGCCCAATTCTTATAAGGTTTTAAATATCGGTGAGAGGCGCAGGTACTTGTTCCTTACCTAGGAAAAGTACTGATACTCCAAAAACACATATTTGGCTCTTATCATTTTAGAGACGTTTATTCTTTTCTCGAGCTCTTGTCACGCACGATACATAGAACTAAAGCTGGAATATCGGCCACTATCAGCGGAGTTAGAGCGCAGAAGACCCCTGCCTGGTCTGTTATGTGATCTCGTCTCTTAATCCAAGTTCAATAAGCTAGCTTTGTCCCTCAAACCAAGGACATGTTGACATGGGCTTATTCAACCTTAGTTCTCGCTAGTGTGGTGTTCGGCTTATGACAGGTCCGAGCTTTAAGTCGGATTCGCTCGGCTTAAGAGAAGAAAGCACGATATATACAAGTATATACTCCTAGCATAATTATAAGAGGTACTCAGTATAAACCTCCTTTCGCAATACCCAACATATGCATATCAGTCAGAAATTTACACCTAAAGGGCAACTTCAGACTGAGTTCATACAACTACATGACATACATATATTCTAAGGCTCTCAAAGTGAATTCAGACCTAAAAAAAAAATGACTTCAGTACTGGCCCGGGCCTCATTGCGCAACTTGGAGCTTGAAATTTTCAAATCCAAAGGCCGTGCTGATATCTTGGCCATGCTGAACGTACATTTTTTGCGTAAGACATCCTCTTCAGAGTCTCAGTTTGAAGTCATTTTGCTAAATATGAGCTGGCTTGAGGCAAATGCAAGTTTTCCCTCGATCTGGCTCTATCCAGCTAGAATATCTCGAGGATGCACGAGCCTATGTTCGAACTTCCCACGCGAGCTTAAAAGCAGATTCATATTATATAATTATAAGTAAAGTTCTTGACTTCGGTTGAACTAGAGTATCCCGGACTAGTAGAACTGTTTGACTCACATAGGTAGTAGTTCGATCATAAGGTTGAGCTTACCACGAAGTACGTAAAGATTTTGTGTTCTGGCCTAATTAGGTATGAGATTCTCCTTTTGTTCCTAGACCTTTCAATATTTTTCCCGGGGGCGAGGAGGAGTTAAGGGCAGATGATGGGGTGAGGGGGGCTGGATATGTATGCTGGTTGACCAAAGAGGAGTGCAATCTGCCACAGCCTTGCGTCGTGCTTGTGATCTACCCCCACCTCCGGATCCCCTAAGTAGGTAATCTCTTGCAACCTTTAGGTAGCCGAAATTGGGTCGGCTGAAAGAACTTCAATAATCTTTGGGATGTAGAGGGATAACTCGAGGTGCACTATCACAACGAAGTACCGATAAGCTCGTAGCCCGTATTTGCGGGTCATCTTTGATTGTTTGGCAGGCCGCAGCTCTGCTCACTGTGCAAATAGCCACTCTCTAGCCTCTCCTCGTCTTGGTCCGCCTTGTGGGTCATGCGAATCCGATTTTGAGAAAGCTTGAGCACCATCGGCTTACTCGAAACCGGCGCCTAAGTACCACTCCAAGCCTCCAACTCTGTTGAGTTCCATTCAGTAACAATCGCGAGGGCGATGGGCGGCAGGATTAGTGAGTCTCCGACTATAACTACATGTATCCAATATTCGATTAGAGCATTCCATTTGTGCAGGTGCGTAGCTTACATTGCCCTTCCCCCGCACAGCCGCCACGCCTCCCCCCCGGATAACCCCCTCCCCTAGACAATACCTCCCCACATATGACAAAGCGATTTTTATGTTCCGTGGCATTGGAAGATCCTTCCACTAGACCTTATTTTCTGTTGAAGCGTACCCGTACCAGCCCTCTTGGCTGCCATGCCGCTTCAGATTTTATCACTTCAAGCGAGAAGTCTGGACACGAGATCACCCACCCCATAATACTGCATGGGGCCGAAGAGTTTTGATGAGAATCCCCCTTAAAATAGGGCTAGTTCTAACCATTCATACTACGCGACTTTCGAATAAGTACTTACATCTTGGAGAATGTCACCGCTAAGTAGTTAGGGCTGCAATATAGTCGCGAGTGATAATGTATGATTTCGCAAAGACACAACTCACAGTTACTCTTCACAGAACCCAACGCAGTCTATCCGCTACAAATACCTACATCTACGTACCAATCTAAAGAAGCCCCCTCCACCGCTCCCCCCACCCCATGCAAGCTCTTCGGAAAACAACGCTAACCGGATTGGTTGTGGCTCTAGTTACATCTAGTCTCGACAAAAAAAAAATTCGGAGTTGAACCGAGGATCTCAGCATTACTAGTGCTGCGCCTTACCAACTTGGCCATCAGAGCAGGTGTTTTCGCGCCTTGTATTGAGGCCAATCTCAAATTGATCTATAGGTCCCGTCCGGGTAGGGGAGTGTTAAAATCGGTTTAGGGCAATCATGTGTACTCTACATACTTTATTGTGGGCTTTTGTGGTGTATATCGATCCTTTGTTGGGCTAATGCGAAGAGGCAGAAACATCGAGTGAGAGATTGTGATTACAGGAAGATTGTCTATAAACAACTTTTCCTTCACAATGGCACCCATATTTCAAAAGCTGCAATCCTATGTAGTTCTAGAGATTCGTGATCGGTTGAGAAAGTCTCGGGAGTGTTGTGCGGTGATTTAAAATTGATGTGGAAGATGAAAGTTGAAACGAATTGCACTTGTACCTTTGCTAAAGATTAAAAGGTTATAACAAGATCGACCTGTACGGGGAAAAAAATATGCGCCCTAAGAATTTTGAAAACTACATGTGCTTGTACCAACCTTATTTTAAAGTTAGGATCCGTATAGGCTACATTTATTTAACTCAGAGACAATGTACTTTTGCCACAGCAAAACCAGCAGTGTCCTCTTAAAATACAGAAATAATAGTACAAAATGGGAGATCAAAATCTAAATCTAGAGGATTCTAGTTCTTCGATACCGGGCGGTTTCTATCTTGATATTTCGACGTATTCTTCGAAGGCCCCCTCTGCAATGTTTTCTCTTTTATGGCTAACATTTTCTCTTCCTTCTTCTTCGCCTTCCTCAACTGTTTTGCCGCAAGAACCTCGGCCTTCAACGCCGCCCTCTTTTCCTGCTTCGCAATCCTCCTCTCCTTCAGCTGCGCTTTCCTCATTTCCTTTCTCTTCGAATGCCCCAAGGTCGTCTGGACCTCCTGCTCTATGAGTTCCCCCAACTCCCATGCTTCTTCATCCGTGAGCCCAAAAGGGCCTCGTTTCCTCACCTTGCACTGTAGTTCTCTGATCCTGTTTTGCCTCTTCCTGACCTTCTGCTTGTTCGGGAGGGCTTCGTCTAGAATCTCCAGCGCTGGAGCCCCTTTAAGCTCGACACTTATAAGGTTTAGAAGGTCCCTTGACGCTACAAGTGTTTGCTCCACCCTCTCGAGCCGCTCCCGCCTCAGCCTCTTGTCTGCCCGGGCCTCTATTTTCATTCGGATCATTTCCCTTTTTGTTGGTAGGCCCATACTCGCAGCAATTATGTCGCGATCCCTTTCTAGCTCCACTTTCTTCTTCCTCTTGGCCAAGCGCTCCCGTTTAACTAATTCTCGCTTTGCCTGCTTCCTTTCAGCTTTCGTCAACTTTAAAGGTACGCCATGATTTAAAGGATGCGGTTCGGGCATTATTTCCAGAACCTCTCGAGGCTTTGGATGAGGCGGAAGCAGTGGTTCAGGCATCCTTTTCAAAAGCTCGTGAGGCTTTGGATGAGGCGGAAGCGGTAATTCTACCGGTTCTCTCTTGTCCCCCCCTCTGACTTTTTTCGGGATGAAAGGCTCTGGTGGTGGCGGCGGATTTAATGCTTCGAAAATGTTCTTTTGCATCTGTTCGAGTAGCTTCTGTGCTCCCTCCATTACATTTTCTGCGTGAGCCGCATTCAACTTCTCTTCGGAAAGTTTACCTTTTTTCCCCTTCTTGACGTTGCCTACTGGTTTAAAGGGAACCGTTACGTCTGGGTTGGGTGTCGTCTGTTCTTTCTTTGCTACCGATGACTGCTTTTGTATTTTTTTCTTCTCCACGGCAG